CATCTACAGATTTCATTTATGACAGGAACAGAATTGAGTCAATCCTTAACTTGTCCTGCTATTTAATTCTCATGATGCATCGAAGCCAACACTGCTGCATGCAGTTTAGCCGCCGTTCCTGCTACATCCTCAGAACAACTGTTTCCACGCTGTACAATGACACTGTCCTGACAGAGGCAAGGACAAATGACCAGCTACAAGACACACAACAAAAATAATATTTCGAAGCTTTCCTCCGTATTTGCCTTTTCCCTCGTATGTCGTTTACTCTTGGAGAGTACATCAGAGCGCAGGAAGCACTGGCGAATAGTCAAATAACTGAATTACTTGCTCAATCTACATAAGAAGCAGGAAATCGAGCAGAATTCCTCCCTTTCCTCAAGTACGTTATGATGCAATGATAACGGCAATACAACCAAAACCTAAGATAATGTGTTGCGTGTGACACCGACGGGTATTTGAGTGTCAAAAAGCCATCAGCGTACCTGGGAGTGATACAGTCACAGACTGAGGATGATTAACTTCGGCGAAGCTAGATTCGCAAATGAACAGCTGATTATAACGTAAACAGTGCCGAGGGCTGCGCTGTTTACACTCATTTGCGCTCGTCAACAAACGGAAGGACGACCGTTACATAACCGCGGCTTCAATCGAACGGGTGCTCTAGAAATCATTGTTTTCCAGAACAAAGCGAGCCTTGTCGAAACACATGCAGAACCACGTTTTACCGCAATTATCCGGCGTCGTCCATCACGGACCAAAGAGTCGAAAACACCGCTGAATGCTGTTGCATTAACGAGGAGGTAGCGAGTGTGTAGAGGTCATCGAAAGTTGACGATTTAAAGTAGGAGAGCCTCTAGCGACCGACTTGCAATGGCCATAACTGCCGATGTCCGGCGTGGCTTCGAGCGCGCATCGTCGTCGGCACGTACGACGATGGCGGCGACTCGAGGAGGACAGCTAGACGAGGACGAGTGCAAAAGGAAGCAGGAAGAGGAGGAGGTGGCTGAAGAGTTTCGATCGATTATAGTTGGGTGCAGCTGCACGCCAGGCGTCTACATCGGTGACTGAAGAGGAGAAGGAGAATGAGAAGCGTGTCCTGTCGTGTCGTTCCGTCAGCCGGTGAGTGAAAGATGGCATGCGCGCGCGTCCTTCTCCTTGCCTCATTAACTGCGCGCGA